CACTAAATGATTGCTGGTGAAGTTGTGAAGAGTGAAGTTGTGGAGTGCTTGTGAAGAGTTGCACAGAAATCAATGTAAGCCATGCTGAGCCCTATCAGAAAAGCTTGCAACATGCTACCATACTTGAATTATCCATAAACGCAGTAACTGGGCAGATCGTTTGGGTTCTTCCTGTCGTTGTGATGAGACAAGTGGTAACACCAACCGAATACAGCCACTTTGGCAAAGAAAACCCCCACGATAGCTCACATCACAGTTCCTTGAGTTCCAGCCAAGTATACGCGCGCAAGCTTTTTTGTGATGAACCTTTGCCGAAAGTATGAATCAAAAACGACATCTCTATTGCTACACAAATAAAAAGCTGAAATAAAGATGGCTAAAACGTTGAAAGCACGCCAAACGGAAAGCGACGCCAGCAAGTTGGCATGATGTATACTAGAAGGAAAGCGAGCGATGTGCAGCCATGAGAAACAGGGGGCGCGCGGGACTACCGCTTGCTTTAATGCGCTAACGATTATATATTATTAGATAGCTCACATCACAGTCCCTTGAGTTCCAGCCGAGTGTACGCGCGCAAGCTTTTTCGTGATGAACCTTTGCCGAAAGTATGGATAAAACAACACCGCTATTGCTACACAAATAAAAAGCTGAAATAAAGACGGCTAAAACGTTGGAAGCACGCCAAACAGGAAGCGACGCCAGCAAGCATGATGCCTATACTAGAAGAAGCGAGCGATGTGCAGCCATGAGAAACAGGAGGCGCGCGGGACTACCGCGTGCTTTCCCGCTTTGTGCCGCATTTTTGAAATGCGGCTAACGATTATATATTATGAGATGTGATAAGCAGGAGTAATAGTTAGTTAAAGAGAAGGTTAGAGGCAGCCAGGTCGCCTTTTTTGGTCGCATTGGCTATATGCTGTATTTAGAGTCAGAGCCGGAATCCGACGGATAATGGATTCTGCAGGGCAGATACCTCCTAAACCGTGGAAAGCGAATGACTCTTCAAAATCAATATCAATAGAGGGAGCGGGATTTCGCTGCGAAAAGTAGTCTATGGGGTGGACCAGTGTCGAAAATATGGTGCTAAGTTTGGCGCCGATCAGTCCGCACACAAAATTTTTTATACAGAACGCATTGACTAACTTACCACCACTCTGTTTTAGATATGTACTAGCTGGCTTACCCGGCTCCGCCCGGCCCTGTCAAAAACGATAAAGGTTCCATTTCTATCCCTCTACACCTTTACCTGTGCCCACTTTCTACGTGCAATTCCCTACTCCCGCTGTGTTAGTAACCAGTATGCTCACATACCTTCCTCTCCTCACCAACCTCCCGCCCCCCACCCCGTAGCTCAAATTTGCAAAAAAAAACAATAAAATCGATGAAAGTAAGGATAATTCTAAAAACCTATGGCGTTATTCGGCTATCCGGGCCCTTAAATGTTTTTGTGGTGGGTCTTGCTCAAACTCGGTATGTGGGGGTTAGTCAAGCCGCTGATGACGAATTAAGTACCCTAATTTCACGCGTACAAGGCGCGGGTTGGTCCTAGCTTTCATCGACCAGCCCGAATACGGCAAAGAACTTCGCAACCAAAGGAACCCCACACCGTGCTGCGTTTTGCCTGACGAATCGTGCGGCATAAGGATCGCTTCTTAAAACACGTTGGGGCGGCTGAGCAACTCGATGAAAGCTAGGACCACCCCGCGCCTTGTACGCGTGAAATTAGGGTAGTCATTTCGCGTGGCAGCGGGTAAAAATCATGAATCTGCCTGAAATCATGGCAGGGAAATACCTAAAATGCTGTTTCAAGAAAATCGTCCTCAATCCCTAGGATAACGGCAATTCGTGTGGTATAAAAGTTCCATACCACCGTAATGCCTTCCTTATAGGACCGCTGCCGCGCGCGATACACCCTTCGGCGGCTTTTGCCTAAGCAAAAACAGGGGCAGGGAGATTTGCCGCGTGCGTTACGCGTTGGGACAGGTTATCAGAATGGCGCTGGAGACCGCCATGCAAAACGACAGTTTCCCCACTTCGTGAATATCTGGGATCTAAATTGGCAAAGCGAAAAAATGTCCATTCAAACCCTGCAACTCACCATAGCTTCACTAATGCGTTATGACAGCGAGCAAGCACCATATTCATAAGCGATATACTTGTGAACCGTTGCAGGTGAGGTTTTGAGCAATTCTTGAACTTCGACCCATCTACACCCACCGTAACTCAAAAAATGCACTATCCTGCGAAATCAGCATGTTCATGTTCAGTGCGCTAAATGACCACCCTAGCCGAAGTTTAAAGCAAATCTGTGTTTTCTATTCCATGCCATATAACCACCATAACTCTATGAAAAGGCTCCAATATGCAGAGAGAGATGATATTCGATTAGCATGTCGAATAAGCCATATGGATCGAACTCCAGCCGAATTCATGATTTTGACTTCCTACCGTACACCTATCGTAACCACACGGGAAGACGTTCTGTGGAGAAAGTGTGATATCTGTAATCAGCATGCAAAGGGACGGCATATTTCACGCGATTTTAGTCGCGACGCGATTTGGCAATTCGCCAGAAGTGTTCAGATCCAACATTAGCAAACGCAAACTGCACATGCATAGTGTGTATAACTTACGTAAACTGATGAAATGTCCTATCTTCTGTACATTTATAATGTGCTTACAATGAGTTATGGACACCTGGAATATTGCCAAATTGCGTCGCGATTGAAATGCTTGAGGTATGCCCGGCCCTTAAGATAACCCTTATACACGAAATTTGAGCAAGCTCTACCACAAAAAAATTTTGGGGCGCGGATAGCCGAATAGCGCCAAACTAATATTGAACTCGTAATCAGCATGCTCGATTACCCCCTGTTCCAAATCCCAGCCCGTAGCTCAAACATTGCAAAAAATCGATAAAACCGATAAAAGTAATGGACGATTTCAAAAACTAATATTGTATTCGTAATCAGCATGCTCGATTACCCCCCTGTGCCAAATCCCATCCCCGTAGTTGAATTCTGCAAAAAAATCGATAAAAATCGGTAAAATCGATATCGATCGATGACGAAAAGTAGCCTATGACACCCGCCGAGGCCCGAAGTGTATGTGTGCCAAGTTTGGTCCGGATCGGTTCAGAAATGGAATTTTCTATTCGGAACGTACGTACACACATACAGACATACAGACATACAGACAGACAGACAAACAGACATTCAGCTTTATATATAAGACTAGCTCAGCTTTATATATAAGATATGTATAGATTATCTCTTCTATTACCAAGCACTTGAGTAGCCTAGTGAAAACAATTCAATTACTGAAAATCAAGTATATGGGAATAAATGTTTGAATTATAAATTCTAATAGCAATTTTTCATAGGAAGATGAGTCAATTTTGACTATCGCCATCCTTCCTTACTGAGAAATTCCGGGGATGGCATAGAAACAACACAATACTCCGCCTAAGGACAGGAACGAATTGGTTATAATCATAAACATTATCTAACACTAATTATTATTACAATCATATGTGTTTTCTTGTACCGACTAATAAAGTTTTGGGTTCCAGATATGCCTTTCTAGCCGTTTCAGGTGCTTAAGCTACCCGTTGATTCAACTGGCTTAGCGGCTGGAAGGCGGAGCGTCGTGAATTAATTAAGGCTAGGTAATGATTGGAGAGCACTCGCGCGGGACAGACACATACTGCGTCGCGGGCGCGAGTGGCCTTGATTAGGTCACAAAGCCTCGCCTTCCAGCCAGTTGAATCAAAGGTTACTGGATGGCAGAGAGAAGGCGGGACTATGGACTTACATAACAACTTTAAAGCCAGACTGCACGGCGTACGCGGCGTACGCCCCATATCCTTGTGCACGTGTGCGTACGCTGCTCGCGCATACGCCGCACAGTCTGGCTGAATCCTTAGAGCGTGATAGGTGCATGACTACCAGGTAGTGAATGGTATTTCGCAATGAGTCGAGTGCCCAAGCTGTCTAGTATCAAAGACGTTATGTTAAGATTGACCGTTTACGGACATCTCCCTAAAATCCCAAAGTTTTGTGCATAAATCAAATCTCTGGCAGCTTTTTTACGAACATGAATCAAATTTGACTCTTATCACTGAACTTGGCTGAATGTAAACATACTTGATCCAAAATTGTTGGGGTACAGAGTACAAGTGTAGTACGAATGAGTTCAGATCAAGTTTTCCATGGGCTCAAGGAAAGCTTCTGTTAATTCCGCCGTTTTGAAGCTGAATATCTAAACAATTTACAAGGAAGCCTTCTGCTAAATCTGCTGTCTCGAAACTAATATCTGGACGAACTAAGTCCAAAGGTCAATTCTCAAATTGACAAACGACTGTGCAGCAATCTCGCTAATGAGACAGGTGCTTTTGTATCAGACTTGCATTGTCAAAATCATACGTCTCACCTACTCACACAATCTGAAAATGATTATATGCGATGATATAGACCCTCATCCATATGTTTATCGGACCTTCCTGATGTTCCTGTCCGTAATAACTCCGTTCCTAAATATGTATACTATATTCTGTATTGTGAAAACGTCTACAAAGCAAATGGCTTCTTACAAATGGTGGCTGCTCATATACCAGCTAACTTCCTCTATTTTTGGTTTCACGTTCACGACTCTTATCTTACCTGTCATAGCGTTTCCTGTTATAATGGGCTACGCTGATTCTCACATAGCAAGGTGGACATCGCTTTCTCTGGCGACTAGTATTCGTATATTTGGATCTTGCATTGTGCTCGTACTCGCCACAAGCTTGAATTTGTTCATATATCGGTGCTATGTGTTGATTCCTCACAATCACGCTCTAAAATTGTGCCTAAAAGGTAAATTCATTAACACAAACTCTTGGAGGAAAAAGCTGCTTTTTCCCTCGTTTGTCCTTGGTTTAGGTCCTTGGATATACGCCGCCGCTTTTGATTTGCGGCGTTTCTACCTTCGTGGGACTAATAGACTTTGTACCCGATCAAATGCAAGCCAGAGTAAGGCTCCTGGAGGTACCTTAACAGTTTTTTTCTGTTTCTTTTAACAAACTAGAACTTTGTGCTCTTATTTAGGAGTATTCGTGTGCGAAGACGGTGATAGATGAACCTCGTCTCACAATTATGACTCTTGATAGCGCTTATTATATTATCTTGATCGGAATCACACTCAACTTTTCTGCTGCAATTTCTGCATTTTCCTTAGTGTCGTTATCGTATTATTTCCTCAGTATAACAAATCAAATGTCTCAAAGAACACGACTTATGCAAAGACGATATTTGATATCACTTATTATTCAGGTAAGTCAAAATCTACATAGCGGAAGTAACTTACTGTTACAAATAGGTTTCAATTCCTGCCATTACACTCTTTATACCAATCTGCTCGATTCTGATTGGATGGTTTTTGTTGACAATTCCCATAGGACAAGGTGAGAGAAACTGAAATGACTTGAACAGAGCACTCGCTCTTCTAGAGTGCATATAAGCAAAACCTGATTAGGGTATTGGCTATACTATTTGAGTGATTCCTGTTAATTGCGCTGGTGATACCTGTTCTTCCTGCTGCACTAATCAGAGACACTTCATTTTGTATCTCATGAGGCGAAACTGAATAAACCGATGATTTTGCAGTGTTCAATGTTTTCTTTCTATCGTCTTATTTATATTGAGTCGGTGCGAAAGTTTTGTTTGTTTTCCGGACTTATCCCCATTTTCTCGGAACAAAGATAGACAAACATTTCAAAAAGTTTTTAACGTAGATTTCCCATCTTTACAACAGCTACTATATTCGCGAAGTGGTTTTTTTTACTGTTTCCCACCTAACATATTTACCTTGATAAAGGTTTCGCTATTTTTAAAACTTTTATCCAAGTTTTTTGTAGATTCGTTGGTTGGCAGATAGGGCAGATCTTTTGCAAATCAATACAATTTTTGTATTTGTTTAGCACACCTTTTTGGATGACGAGTTCATAATCGCTATATCCAAATCTCGTTGAGCATCAAGTGATTGGTAACCTAGGTACCAAGCGATGCAACTTTTTCTCCTTTTTCTAACAGTTATTATTTGATTTGCAAACTGGCGTTTTTCTTAATTCTTACAAGTGCGCACTGTTATACCCCAATAAGAATGTACATATAGTAAGTTTCAACCCAGTTTAGGCGAAAATTGGACTGGCGGGAGTCCGCTTCGCAGCGATTCGCGCCGCTTTGCGATCTGCGTCTCTTCATTCTAATCCACCTCGCAGAGCCAGTGGCGGCGCGGGCGCGCTGCTCCACTTGGAATGTTCGTCTACTCCGTGCTAAAAAGACTGTGTTTTGAAACGACAACTGCTTATATACTTCATAAATTTAATTGTAGTAGTAACCGAGTTCATATAGATATATGCAGGGTGCCCAAAAAAATTCGTGGGTTTGAGTTAGGATTGAAAAATGCTAGACTGCCGCTAGCTAACCCGAGAAAATTGAGAGTATCTACATAGCATTAGTCCACCTTTACTGTGGCAGACTTTATTCTCGCATGGAACTGCAAAATCAACAGATTTGTTTGATGTCACAATACAAGGAAAATTTCCTCGTTACCGCATGCCTTTTGCAAGAGCACAGTTTGACACGTAAAAGTCGCAAAGTTCAAGGTAAGCATTAAATTCCTGGTAGCTTTGTTTCTGAACTGCGGCAGTAGGAACATTCATCTGTACATGACAAATTTCAGAATTTTTGTTGTTGCATTTTCGTGAGCGGCCAAATCATGCCACAGTGATGTATGGACCACTATTATGCTAGGAACTTTTACAGATTCCGTGCTAACTAGTTGCACTAGTTATTTAGTTATTTAGTTATTATTGCTATTTTTTTTTCGGGGTTAGCTAACGAAAAGAGTGATCAAAACACTATTTCAAATCGCAGTTCTTCTCTTTTTGTAAGACTTAGTGTTGAGTATGCGATAAAACCATATCGAATTTTACCTGGGACGCCGTGCATAAAAATAGCGATCTCACTCGCAATTTGATTACAGAAGTATGAGAGCTCTCAGTAAACAACTGCAACTCTGCCCAGGCAACCTCATCAATCGAGACAATACGGGTGTCCAAAAAATGTATCGAACGTCTATCTTTGATAACTTCTTTATATGGGAAAACTTCGCGGATCTTTGGCTTCCATACGGTAGGGATCACTTCAACTTAAATTTACAGTACAGAGCGAACCACCGATTCCTCTTAGTTACTGTAGAATTACGTAGGAATTTCCAACTAATTTTAGGCTTCTGACAGACTAGTATTGCTATTAGGTTGTCAAGAAAATAATGTCGGTTTTTATTTGCCTGCTTTAACAAAGCAACCAGACTCAATCCAACAAAGGCTAAGGCGTACTGTTCGATAGAGCAAAGCAAGCTCTACAAGAGAGCGCTCATGAATTGACGCCAAACTCGATCCTTGGAAAGTTCGAACTTGAAATTTAAGATTTTGAGAGAACGAATTTCGTGATATCAAAGCAATGCCAAGGTGTTCTTGTATATGTAGTTCTATACTACAAGCCTAGTTGAGTACAATTGTAGACTTTCAGCCCATTTCGAGCTGTAATTTTCGAGAAACATCAAATTCAGCCTTCTTCTTTTCAGTTCCAGTGCTAAAATCGATATTACACGAAAATTACCGCTCGGAATGGGCTTAAAATTTACAGGTATAACTTACCTAGGCTTGTAGTATAGGACTACATATGCAAGAACGGCTCAACATTGTTTTAAGAATATCACGAACATTTTCGTTTTCCCAGTTTCTAGTTGAGGAAAAAATACAGAAACTGCACATATGGATATCACATTTCGAACGTATTGACTTGTGCGAGTGGAAAGTCCGTAAAAATCATTTGGACGAAGATCTTTTTTCGATTTTTTGGGCATTTGGAAATCTCTAGATTTTGAGTTCGAACTTTCCAAGGATCGAGTTTGGCGTCAACTCATGAACGCTCACTTGTAGAGCTTGCTTTGCTCTATCGAACAGTATGCCTTAGTCTTTGTTGGGTTGAGTCTGGTTGCTTTGTTGAAGCAGGCAATGAAAAACGACATTATTTTTTTGACAACCTAAAACTAAAAAATTCCAAAAAAACCGAAGGACTTCAGACTAAGGTTTTCGGAGATGCTGAATCTAAACAAAGTTTGCCGCTACAGTACCCCGTGGCTTCTTACGGTATGCGCACGCAACGCTGAATTTTTGGTTTTTTCCGAAATTTACTATATCAACGTTGCAGTTACAAACAGTCGAAATTGATCAATCAAATCAATCAAACCAAATCAAACCATTAGTTGTGTTTGAACATTGATTTTGTGACTTGTTGCACTCATAATTTGCATTTAATTAAGGATGAAGAAGTCTTCAAATTTCAACTGAACTTTGCTTGCAAAGGCAGCGTTGAATTTTGGAAAAAAAGCCAAAAATTCGCGTTACAGCGCGCATACTGTAAGAAGTCGAGGAGCGTAAGACTTTATATTTAGATTTATTATCCCCGCGAACCTTAGTTTGAGGTCTTTCGGTTTTTTCTGGTATATTTTAGAAGCAACTCTCGTTTGTCAGAAGCCTATTAGGGTCGAAAGTTCCCACCGTAATGAGTAACTAACAATAAGAGCAATCAGTGATTTGCTTCATACTGTAAATCTATGTTGAAGCTAGCCCGGGTGTATGACTTTATAAACGATAGCATGTGCCAGCCGCCAGCTGGGTACCGTACGCGGTACGCTGATCGCTCCGCCCCCTTGTTGATTAGCCTAGGAATGCGTTGCAGCTATTAAAAAACTCTCTGATATTTCGTTCATGCTTCTCCAGTTGGTTGCAATTTGGATAACAGTAGATTTTAAAATTTCGATTAAATTAAAAAATCAGTTTTCAGATCTTTTTTGATTATAAATCAGTTCGCAAGTTTTTTTCAAAGTATCTCAGTTATTTGTTCCTAGTAGGTTCGTCCAAATTTATTTCTCGTTGTAAGTATGAGGAAATTCTTTCAAGCTTGAAAAAGTGTTTTTTATTCATATCTGTTACTTTATTGAATATTATTGTGCACTCTCAAGTTTAGTTCAAAAAAAGTCAGCTTATCGAGAAATATTGTTATCATTGCTGAAATAAGCAACACGATTATCTCTTTTATCGGAAAAGTAAGTTTTGAAACCCTAATCATAGCTAAAATCAGATTTCAAGAATTGAAAACAAGCATTATAGGGGAATTTTATTTCAAGCAAACTAATTTCAATAACTTGTATACATCATTACCTTTGGTAATGTTTCGCACAATCAGATATCACTCGTTTTGCAAATATGGGTCATATCACACAAACTTATTTAGATTTCAGGAAAAGGGAAAATCACATTGCACTTATATTTTTTCGAATCTGGTTTAAATAACAAAATTCTTTTATTTTGCTTCCAAAAACTGCCATCCTCAATATAAATCGATCTGTAATACAATCGAAATTGGGTGTGAAGTTGTCGTAAGATGTGAGGTCACTCAGACAATCATGCCTGAGGTATTCTAGACTAACTTCACACAGTTGGATATACAAGATTCACTTGTCATTCATAGATAGAAAGCAAATCTTTGAAATTCACGATCAACACAATACATCAGCTGTTCATTGACTGGTAAAAAAAGAAAGAAAAAGAAATCAAAACAATTCTGTAATTAGTCAAGCTTCACCCCAGCTTCCAAAAAGCTTATAACCCATTATACTATGCTTTCAATTGACTAGGGAACATGGCCATGAACCAGTGCTAGAGCTGTACTGCAGAGAACTCGTCCGTCTTGCGATAGGCGGGGCTAACGGTGCGCACCTTATTGGCACACGCCTGCCTATGCGCGCGCTATCGTTCATAAAGTCCGCCACCCAGCTAGCCCTACCATATGGCACCCAAAAATCCGCGAATGCTTTCCATAAAAAAAGTTATTAAAGATCAAACGTTTGCATTTTTTGGGACACTCCGTAGATTTAAAGGCAGCGTCCAGGCAGCTCTGGACCTATGGGAATTTTACGTGGAAAGTCCTTTTGGGGCCCTAACTAAGGCACTGCCCAAGCGGCAGCGCAGGTAATGCTTTAACGGCTGAGATATTCCCCTCGAAACTGAACCCCGCGATCGTACTCGCATGGATTCATGGCAGTTTCGAGCCAGGATCCACGCTTTGCGCCATAAATCCATGCGAAATACGACCGCGGGGCCCAGTTTCGAGGGATAATTTCAGCCGTTAGAGCACTACCTAGCTGCCGGTAGGGCAGTGGCTAGTCAGGGCACCAAAATTACTATCCACGTAAGAGCCCCATGTGTCCAGACTTGCCTGGACGCTGCCTTTAAGAGGCAAGGGAACGTAGCTGACGAAGAGATATGTTCAGGTAGAACATCGAATAAAGCTCATATAGAAAAACACGAGGAGATGAAATCAAAGTGGATCAACATGATAATGAGCAGGCAAGGTTGAGATTGGTTGACTTTCATAGGCATATTTTGGGGTGTTCCGACGTGCTCGCCATCACTGCTTCACTATTTGAGCTTTGACTGCTGCAGCTGTACAGTTAGTGTCAGTCAGAGTCATTTACTGCGGCCACTGCTGCAGTACGAAACAAAGTGTGAACTCGCCACAAACAGTCGTGACATGAAAATTGCGTTTAGTCTGGATAATACCATTGTTTTATAAGTTCTCCTAGTTTTTTCGATTTTCACCCTAAAATCAGTATCTCTTAGAAACTGCCGCACTTACAAGGGTATAAATGTGTGATTGTACTTCTGAATGTTTGTGCTATATATTAGGCATTTGAGAGGAACCCAAAACCGCTAGAGGAGGAGTTGCTCTTTTCCTTATCATTTATTTTTTCGTAGTTATGGGAGCAATATGGAAAGTGTATTGTTGAATGTCTCACATGTCAGATGAATGCACAGATGCAAAATAAACGTATATAGGATATGAAAAGATTTCTTTGCACACTGCGGAATTCTCTGTTTATTTGGTTTCGCCTTACGCCAACCGCGTGACAAACGCCATTATTTGGTGCGGCGCACATGAAGCAGAACCAAAAGAATCACAGGGCTAACAGATCCATGACATGTAAGCTTTGTCTGCGGAATAGAACGGACGGAAGATTAGTGATTCAACAGCTTTCTACCGCTATTGAAGCCTCGAAAAGCCATTTTTAACAGTCTAGAAACTAATGAAGTTGAGATCTGGATCCATATCTGCCAGTTTAGCTGCTGGAAATTTCGCTGTGGGTGTTGCGGCACTCTACTCTCTTGTATCCACTTTCCCTTATTTTTTGCAATGACACATATCGTAACTACACTCTTAATAAGATCAAACATGGTTGGTAACAAATTTTTTAGAATGGGCTTCTGTAGTGTTTGAAATAATATGCTTTAGAGTTTCCAAGAAGAACGAAAACACGCTCATTTGGCATCAATTTTTCCCGCCCCTCCGCCGTGAAGCGGTAGTTAACCATACTTCTGTAACTCTGTATTGCCCAATAAACCCCTCACCATCTGTGTATGTGATAATGTATATGTTCATGTTACAACAGTCTTTGAGGAATCTTCTTTTCATATGTAAAGCATACGGTCGAAATGTCTGTTGGTATTATTGCTGAAAATGAATGCTTTAAAGGATCGGCTTCATACACACTATAATCGAAGGTTTTGGAACGCTGAGCACTCTAAATTCAGTGTCCATCTAGGGAAACTGAAAATTTTTAGCATGTCAACAGTATGCCCGTAACTGAGTACCCAAAGGGGGATCCCATGTTGCACCGCTTATCTGAAAGGAAATGAGCGTCTGAATGTCTATTTGGCAAACTTTCAGTGTCGTACAGAAAAGCCGCCCAAGAACATTTAACATGTTCATTTGTCCGCGCCTAACTTTGAACAGCATTGCGACTGGCGGCTGGCAATGACGAGTCCCGTAGCGCTATGAGCGATTCATAGCCGACAGTGAGCGCGCACCCACTTCAGGTTTATTTTTATATACTTTTGTAATCAAGTTTGAAATAAATGTGCAATGCTGAAAACAACATGAATGTCAACCGGTAAATTCATTGCGAATGAGACGGCCTATAGCGCCCTGCGACAACCGCTCGCCTGTGCTGGTGTTCAAGGCACGGCGCGGCAATTAGGTTCTACAAGGTCTGTACGTATTATTGTGCATCAGGGCCAGGCACGTTTGTGGGGCTTTCGAAAAGAAGATCCTTTCAACCCCGTAGCTGAAAGTATGCCAAAAATCGATAATATCGATGAAGGTAATGGATTTTCTTCAAAGCTCATTACATTAGTATTCAGCATGCTCACTCAGCCCCCCCCCCCCCCATCTCTCCCCCTCCAGTTCGAAGTTTGCAAATTTCGACAAATTCAACATACAGGGCTTATCAACCGCAGTGTCGGGAGCACCAGCATCTTACTCCTGCGCGGAACTCTGCACCTCTTTCGCGAACATGCTCTCTGATCACTTTCCCACTGCAAGCGCCTCAAATGATTGTATGTGATTGGAGAGCCTGTCTTCGGAAGAGGTGCAGGGTCTCGCGCAGGAGTGGAGATGCTGGTGCATACGATACTTTAATTGATAAGCCCTGTACACCTAAATGGAAGCCATGTACCAACATCAACCGCATTCTTACGCATTACATCCTGCCAAAGTCTGACTATCATACTATTCACAAAAAATTACCCATAAGCAAGGCTTTTCAATCCTAAACAAATGCCCAGAACTATAACAACACATCACTCTGTGTGAAAGAGAGCGGGATCAGCAGCGGTAATGACATATGGAAGGCCAGAGGAAGTAATATCTTCATTTTGCTCAGATATTCAGAACTATGGTACTTTCAGGCTTCTAAAGTCTACTTTGGAGTGGTGATCTGCGTGAGAAAGGAGCAAACAGCCGCAGGTACATGGGAGCAACTGTGCTGAAATTCAAAATGGATTGAAGTGGAATTGCGCGGATTTGATTTCTGCGCTGTCGAATCGTTGATGATAGTTCGAGTTAATTTGTCATTGCCGGAATCGTGTAAAGTCGTCAGTAACCATCCGGAGTGAAGGGTGATCCGCGCCTGTATGCGGCCTGGCAAGTGGGCCAATTAGCTATGGACTGAATATATTAGGTAATTGACGTTTCAACGTTTTATAAATGTTTTGTAACTAACTTTCAATCAAAATGTGTTATATGTACAAAAATAGGTCGTGTGCTTATCAAATTTTGGTCACAGTCGGTTCCATCCTGATCAGGCAAAACATTCTAAGTGGAGCAGCGCGTGAGCATTGCTGAAGGCTTCGCGAGCGCATAGCGCTGGCATTTTCCAAGCGAAGATTTAAGAGAATTTAGAGACGCAGATCGGGTCTTCTGCACGATATGATATGCTGTAGCTGCGAAACGTCGCGAACCATTGCGAGGCGAACGCCCGCCAATCCAATTTTCTCCTAAAGTGGGTCGGAACTTACAGCACCTAACTAAGATGTGATTTACTTGAAACTAGCTGACAAACCCGGCTCCGCTCGGTCCTGTGAAAAATATAGTAATCGGCATGCTCACATATGCCAACCACTAGCCCTTACTTCAAATCTTGCAAAAAAATTGGTAAAATGTCAATCGATAACGGAAAGTGGCCTACTACACCCGCCCCGCCCCAACTGTATGTGTGCAAAGTTTGGTCCGGCCGTATCGAGTCAGAAATAAAATTTTCTATTCGGAACATATATATACATATCAGTGGCTTATAACTTATACCACTTGCGCGATCTATTGAGATTGAAAGCTAGACAAGAGAATACCCAGCAATTGTTGCCAACGGGAGGACGTTATTGCCAAGTATACCATTTCCTCGTTCCATTTATAGAGAATCCGAGCCAGCGCCAATTGTTGAAATAAAGTTCCGCATTCTTACAACCGAAATTCTGCACATTCTGAATAGATATAAGAACATCCGACAAATTAACTTGACACTGGAACAATGGCAGGTTTTCAGGAAATTGTGAATTAGTAGAAGAAATGTCAAAGAATATCTATAAGTGGCAGAGGCCGAGAGTTTGTAGTAATACCCCAGTGGTTAAATCGAGAGATTGCTAGAGTGCATCTTTCCGATAGTATGATTTATCGACCCGCTACTAAACAAGAATATCAGGCACAGTGCAGAAGGCTGAACAATGTTTGGATAAGCGTGGGAAAGTCTGTCGGACTTGGTTGGAAGTTGATTAACAGAATAAAACTTGATAATTCAAAATGTCCAGTCCTCTACCTCTTAATGAAGACTCACAAGTTAGCGGCAAACGAATTACAGTCAATGTCACCACATTCCTATAAAATTCGCCCGATCATAAGCTGCGTAAGTGGACCCACTGACCGACTACTTGGTTCTTGAACAAGATTGTAAACGCTTTTAGAAAAAGTGCCTGCACATTTGTCTAACACTCGACAATTTGTATGCAGTGCGGAGCTTAAGTTTTGAACCTGGTAGTATCATCAAGTCTTTCGACGTAACGTCACTGTACACCAACGTTTAAAACCATGCTGCTCAACTTTATCGGAGATGTTAGACAAACATTACCCCACTATGATAACCTTTGGCTCGAACAAAGAGTGCATAATGCTCATTATTATGGAATATTGAATTGCAACATCTTCAAGTACTCTGGGAATTACTGTTCTCAGACTAGAGAGTTTGCGATGGGTCAAAGACTCGCCCCAGTTCTTGCGATCTGCTACATGAGCAAGATTGAGGAGCCAGTACTCGCGCGATTGCCGTTAATGTATTGCCGCTACATCGACGACTGCTGCATCGTCATAACCATGCAGTCCGATGTGGATGAATGGTTTAGGATTTTGAACGGTCGCAATACATTAAGCTTACACGAGAGACCCCGCGCAGTGGTTGGCTTTCCTTTTTAAACACCCAGATAAATTAATCTGACGGCGGTGTACGATATCATGTGGTACCGAGGAAAGCTCCAAAAACATACTTGTCTACGCTGCATCAGCACATCCTGCAGCTCTTAAACGTTCCATCATCGTAATATGTACAAGACCGCTGTAGAAGTATGTACGGGCGAGAGCGAGCGGATTGAATCGCAACAGCTTGCACTCAGAATTGCTCGCAGCAATGGCTACACAACTACGCATTCCCGAAACCGAACATCTAGATGATTCACGACTGTGGTCTTGGAAGCGATAACAGGATCCCTTTCTGTGTGTCATTGGTCTCCGACAGTTTCAGTAAGGCAGTAAACCGATGCATAGCACGAACACAGCTAGAGAATGAGATAGCACTGCTCAACATTCCTACTAGTAACATCAAAAAACGGTTGATCAGAATGTTTTGTATGACACGGAATGTATATCAGAAGATTGCATCGTATGCCTTTACGGGAAACTAAGTGACTGCGCAAAAGAAGGAATTGTTTATCAAATAGAGTGCTTAAATTGTGGCGCAACGTACAGTGACCGCCAAGAAGTTGCGGACAAGCCGCCCTCCTTTCTTCGTCGCTCATTTTCAGATGGAAAACAAGGATGAAAAAATGATTAGGGTGCATGAGATGACAGAGCTCTTTAAGTGCTACAACCCACATATCACTCTTTCTGGAAAACATTGCTTCTAGGAAAGTTAGAAATGTTTCAAAAAGTGCAAAAATGGCCGCGCAAAGTCGCAGACAACAATTCTTCGAACGCGAAAATTTCCTTTTGGGTTCTTTTCTGAGCGAAAACACAACTAATGCGAATGAATAAGCACACTATCATACAGAGCTCATCAAGGTCTATGACCTGGTTATGACTACTACCTAAAAAAGCACAAGCTTAGAATTTATTTTGAATTTTTTTGAAATTAACTTCTAATTCACCCTTTTAAACCAAATTTGTTCAACTAAAAACTGAGCAAAAGATCCTAACAAATCTTTCTTGATAAAGTGGATGCTTTTTACCATTCTCTATGCGTCTGTCGTGTGCTAGTGGGTTTTCTTGCTGGGAAAGGCTCTTGGAAGTGCGTGTGCAGGATCTCGCCTGCATCTCACCAACGACTTGTACCGCTTTTTAGGCTTGTAGCTCAGCCGGCATTCATTCTACGAGCCTGCAATTGGGCTCATTTGAAAGAGCGTGACTTCCTCGATATGATGGTATGCAAATGCGCTATGTTTGAGAAATCCCGGAGATTTTACGGATGGGGTGAAAAAGCGCAGGTTTAGAGATGATTGGAGTGAAGGCTCTTATCGACACCGGAACAGTCTTAGAGCTTCGAAAGAACAGATTTTACATACAATTTTAGTGCACGAGGTCAAGATATCGGCACGAAAA